CGCCATCGCAGGGTAGGGGGGAACCTCTAGGAAGGGGCAGGAACTCCAGGAAGAATGGGAATTTCTCACGTCCTTGGAGTCCCTCCTGCCCTGCTTGAAATTTAGCCGGGTTTTTGTCAAAAAGAAGACATTTTACGCGGTTTAAAGAGCGTTGCCACCACAATCCCTCCGTAGCATGTGATAGCGCTTTTCTTTCGTTTCCTTGACTACTTTTTTCCGCCAGATGATGCTCCCGGATGCTCTTGAAGCGGACCATTAGAAAATGCAGTTGCTCTAGTAATGTTTCAAAGTTTATCAAGGCAAGGAAGGGGAGAGACGCAATGGCAGTGCTCCTGATTCCAATAATTTTTGAACTTGGTAATTGTCAAAGGTAAAGGTTCGCTTCTTAGCAGCCTGATTCTCACGCCGTCGCAATCGCAATCTTTTGGCAGTTGCTGATTCGTGCAAGATTTCTCGGTCATAAATGAACCTTCACGGGTCGCGAATACACTGTGTGCTCGTCGTTGATATGTGTGATTGATAGCAGCCCTTTTAACGTCCTTGTTCACCTTAACCAATCATAATCGCATACAAAAAGTCCACCCAACAACAGACGAGACGAACGGCGCCAATTCTTGTGCGGTAATCGGCGACAGAGCCGCAACTTACGGTTCATGGATCAAATGGTGAATCCATATTCCCTAGAACCACTCTGTCTAGATCATACGTCGTCGAATAACTTGTAATTGATACCAGTGAAGCCTTAAAGGGTAACTATACCGACTTGTACAGCTCCACTGGCTCACGAAAAGCATTTTGTAAGCCAATCGATTTTTAAGATTTCGATTCTGAGTTAGAGCGCGAGACATGCCTTGATTAGAACGGTCCTAGGCTCGATTTTAGGTAGAGACCCACAGGGGTGGTCGGTTTACTGAACTTTGGTGTTCAGGGATGGAAAGACGGTGGCAGCGTCCGTAAGATCGAGCTCTAGTACATGAACGTCGGAGCCTGAAGCTCGCCCAAAGCAGTAGTAGGATTGATACGCTGTTGGTGTACTTAGGTTAAGATTACTTGCCATCCACCCTGATCAGGTACTCGGTCGGAAACATTACACCAAAGGAGCGGACCCAGCCACCGAGCGGAAAGATAGATGCGTGGCGCATCCCAACATTAAATGATAGTGGGTAATCGTAGGGTTTCGATGGCGTAAGTCGATACCGATATAATGGAGGGTAATAGAACCTTCTTGTAATCAGAAGGTCTTTGATGTCAGAATTCGTTTAGCCTAACCCTCAGTAACTTCTTCCATGCGTTTTCTTA